AAATAAAATCTTTAAAAAAAAAAAAAAAAAAAAGTGTTTTGTTACAATCAACCTACTAGTACATAGAAACCATATTTATCACAACATCCTAGTTGTTTTAGAATGACATGGAATATATATATATAATTCAGTGATATTTTATAGCCCATTGTTAAGGAGAGGTGAGTCTGATATCAGTAGGAAAATTATTCCTGAAAATTTAAAACCTAGAAATACATTTATACTGTGTGGTCATATGTTTCAGGGAGAGAAGAATAAATCAAGAAGAAACCTTGCAAGGGAGCTTATATGGAATCCTTAAGGCTTGTGGTTTAAAAAATAAATAAAACAAATATATTTTATGTATAATAGTTTTGTATATAAGTATGTTTGTATCTAATAATATATTAACATATATTATATAAAGTGTTATATATTTATAAATATATATAAACTATATAGTTAACATATATATTTGTGTGTATATATGTTTAACTACATACATATGTGTAGCTCAGTGCCTTAGGTCCATTATAGTAGCAGATAAACCAAAGTAATTTTGTCACGATGATCATATGCCTATGGAAGAAGATTGGCTCAAGTGAAATTAACTTCTGCACTTTTGGGTTTTATACTGGTAGTAGGAGCACAGCTGGCTTTTATCCCTCTGAATCATTGTTCTTTATAGAGCTCTTTTTCAGAATGGTCTAGCCAAAATGTGATGTTCCTTGGACCTGAGAATTGGAACTCAGAAACTATTCTTTATACATTATTCAAACAGAAAAGGAGTTACTTGGAAGTTCTTAATAATAATCCTAATAAATAAATTTATGATCTCAAAAATGTAGGTCTGAAATCTTAACCTCTGACCCTTCACACCACCAGTCAGAAATTTTCACAGCTGTTTTCTTTTCCTTGATAGAACATAGAGGGCATGGTTTAGTTGAAGTAAGTTGTATATACATGTAACTACCATGATGATCCCTAACGAAGTTCTGTAATTCTGCTTGGCTTCTTTGGGAGGCTGCTGAGTGTGACTCACCCATATTCCCAACCCATTTCACTCCGTACTACTATTTTTTTTTTTAAGATTTTATTTATTTTTTAAGTAATCTCTACACCCATCATCAAGAGTCACACTCTCTGCTGACTGAGCCAGCAAGGCATCCCACTCCATGCTACTTTAAAAAGTGGTTTCCTTCTTTGGCTGCCAGGACCATATCACTCCCCAAGTTCCTCTAGCAAGGGAGCTTTACTTTAAAGCCACACATGATACTAACAGAGAAGGGAGAGCTGGGACACAACCAGGCCTCATAGGGACTGGAACAGTAAGCAGTTTAGGAATTGGAAGTATCTGATGCATTTCTAAGAACTGAGCCACCATGTTGCCCTCTAAGTAATAGGAGTTTGTCAATGCCCATCTGCCAGTTATACTATTGAGTTCTTCTCTGGTTCTTTCCCTACAAGCTTATCCTCCTCTTTATGGCCTTATCTTGTATTTTATTTTTGTCTTCTCACTGATAGTTTCTCTTACCTTTGTCTTTAAGCCTTGAGCTTCTCTCCTGGCTTGCTGTCTCTGTGTCACCTTCCTTTCCATCACCAACTTTCTGGTCTTTGTGTTTCTCCTCTTCATGCTCCAGTGGGAGAGAGAAACTTTTCAGGCTAGTCAGTCGCTGTGGTCTCTGTTTGAGAGAGCCTGTCAGCTTCTGGCTAGTGTGTACATTGGCTGCCCTTGGGTAGCGTCTCACTCCCATTGCCCATCGGCTTCGGAAGCTTTGTAGGGGTGGGCATGGAGGAGGAGTGGCAGGAAGTAGAGCGCACAGAACCCTAGCGCAGTCCCTGGGGCTTGCCTGAGTCTGCTCACAGTCAAATCCAGGCTTCCATCCAACCCCCGGGACAGTGTAATTGACTGTCCTGTAACATCACTCTCCTACCAACTGGCTCACAGGATGTTGCTGGTTGATGCTTTTATATATGTAGGACTCATTCTGTATTTAGGACTGGCTTGAGCTGCTCTGGGACCTTCTCACTTGGCTTTGTAAGGAAGTTCTCTATTTTTCCCTGTGCAGCTAGAGTAATATTTTTTCCCTTTGTCACTTTCTTCATGCCCTGTATTCCTTCATCTCCATTAACCAGTCCGTTCAGAAGCAGTGGCAAGGGTGACTTGGAAAGCTGAGAAGGAATACATAGAGAAGAAGTTGATTGTGGCTAAAACTAGCTGCTTAGCATAATTCATTGAACTCAGAAGGATCTGAATATTTTCTTTAGTTTGTTAGCTGTTTGGAGCTTTGAAAACGGGAAAGATGGAAGCAGAAGAAAAGACTGGGCCACAAGGATCAAGAACAGTGAGCTAAGGACAGGCAATGGAGTAGGGCGTGGAGATTGGTCATTGCTACATTCTGTCCACTTTCTGGCTGGGCTGAGTAGGGGAGGGGTATAGAGTTCACAGTGGGGGTGAACAGGTGATAGCATTTTTCAACAAGAAGTGTAACAAATGACTGATTTGGAGGAAATAATAGCATGTACAAATGAGAGAATGTAGATGTTTTATTTGATGTAGATGGATCATTTGATCATTTTATTCTATCAATGTATATAATCATTTGCAATTAATCATTATATAGTCATTGAAATGAAACATTATATTGCCTTTATTTGTGTCACTTATTCAGTTCATTTTCTCAATTTTTAATTATATCAGCTTCCAGTCAGAAGACTATACAACCTCCTAGGGTAAGTTAAACTTTCTTAAATGAATTGGAAATGACCACTTGATGGTTTTGACTGAGGAATGGTAATTGAGATATTGAAGCCTTTTGCTCTCTGTTTAGTGGTATGACATCAGATTAAGAGAATATGGAAGTCATTTCATGACTTTGCATGAATAGATCCAACTTTCTTTTAAAACCTGTTTGGTCATTTTAGTTGCAATAGAATAAAATCAGTGATTCCTTAAGATTGTGCTGACTTCTCAAGTGACTTCTCACTTTCTCAGAACTGGAAAGGTCATGTGTAAGAATAATGGTTATTATCTCTGCTGAAGGAAGCTGCCTCACCTGTTGGCTCCATTTGATGTGCACATACAAAGTGGTATTTCAGAAGGCTTTAAAATGAGGGAGAGGGATTCATGTGAAATTGATTTCATTAAAAATAATCTATAAAATAAATGTAGATATTGCTGGAACATATCTGTTCTGAATTAGAATCTATTTCCCTTCTTCCCCCATTTTATAAGTATTTTTCTTCCTCCATACTGTACTGTAGTTTTCACTGTGTCTTGGATACCTTAATAAGCTATCTAAGAAAATTCCGAGAAAAGGAGCAAATTTAAGAGAGAAACTGAAACGGATAAATGAGCACGTGAAAAAAAAACCCATGTAGTGATTGGTCATGGGACAGGCCCAAGAACTATTTTCTTGAAAGAAGGTCTGGAGAGGTCACCTTCCTAGAAAGGAATAATGGTAGCTCTATCTGGAACGCCAAAATCGAGACTCCTGTCTGTGGCAGGAAGTGGGAGATTACATATATTCCTTAGGCCTGAAGAGCCTCAGAAGACATGCCTGAGAGGCAAGGGGGCCTAGGGGTGAATCTTACCACAAGTGTTTATGCTAAAAAGATGGGTGCTGTAGCTGCATTGGTCACCAACAGCCCGCAGTGTTTAAAGTGCCTCTGTTGGAGATAATCCAACCATTGGACCCTTACATCTTAACGCATTTTCTTTCCTTGTTACTGAATTCAGTTTGCATGATTTGAAATGATTCTGCTTTGGTCTCATCTCGTTTAACTCTTTTATTTATTACTGTATTGCTATTTATGTTTGCACTTTTTGAGAAGTTAGAATTTATTGAACTAAAAGAGGCAGAGTGGGTGGGAAATTCTGCAAAGAAAAAATATTAAGATTAATACAGTTATTATTAAACTGTTAGGTAAGCTTGGCAAGCTTTGTTTTTCTTTATTGCCTTATTTTGTTTTTAGACTGTAAGATTCACTCTTAACTATATAGTTTAAATATTAGCGTATATAAATTTTAGTATAAAAGGACATGAAATAAATTCCATTTTTACGTAAATATATTTTAAATATTTTCCAGAAAGCTGTAGAGGAGCCCCTTAATGGTATGTGGTTATTACCAACTTGTATATTCTTCTTGATCCATTACCTGATCATAATTTGAATAGCCTCCCAAAGCAGTTAGAGTGCTCTATCTTTTTGCCTTGGGAAAAATCTAGTTTGTTTTTTGTTTTTTGTTTTTTGTTTTTCCTTGACCCCTCTTTTCTTGATTATTCAGATTATTGCTATTGTAATGTTCTTACCTCTGAGAAAAATGCCCTGTTCAGTATCTCTCCAGTAGTTGCTTGCTCTGGCCCAACGATATTTGGGTGAGGGGACCTTTGCCTTATATTAGGCAAGATGAAGTGTAACACCCCCAATAGAGAAGAATCTCAATTAATTTCAGTTTCTGATTTAAAATTTCAGATTCAGGCTGTCACCATGGAATGAGACCCAAGCATCTCACTTTGTTTCTCCCTAAGTCTAGATCTGTGTTCTCAACTGACCTTGTTTCCTTTGTGGGGTCTGTGGGTATGATCCACAGAAAGGCTTTTGTAATAAAGTAATAGAGTTAAAACTAATTTGACTTTATAGCTGTGGAATAGTTAGCATGATATTACTGGGTATTTATTTATTTAGAAATGATTTCTAATTGTGGAATCTTACTAACTGCCTGCTTGGTTTGTTACTAATTCATAGCATTTAAAGAATCAAAAGGAATGATGAATGATGGTAAGTATAAAGTGCACCTACAATTATAGTTGGTTAAAATATGAACAATGAAAAGAAGTAAAATGGCTTCTTGAAAGTGTGCTCTTTTTTTTATGTAAAAGGGACACTGTCAAATCATAAAGGCCTGCATTTCTTGATTTATAAAACTTAAATCTCCTTAAAGTTACAAAACAAGTGCTAGAAAAGCTGTAGGGTGTCACTAATCAGACCCTCCAATCATATTGCTCATAGCAAAGAGAAATTACTGCTTTTTAAAAAACATTTTTCAGCTGCAGTATCTGGTGACTAACTTTTAAATGCTTTTTATAAGACACATAGATAATCTGGCACAAATCTTTATCATCTTGACAGAGTTTCTTTTGTGCTTGTGTTGGCGATTTGTTGCATTTAATTCATGGGGACTTAATATCTCTGCTTTTCTAAGCAGGACTCAGTTCTGTCCTTTCGGGAGAGGATTTAAGAGAGAAATGTTTAGTCAGTTGAGCTTTTGCTTCTTGTTTTGGAACTCTGGGCTAATAACTTCTAATTTTTATTGAATATTTCAAGGACATACTTGTTTTTAAAAATAAGTCGGAGATACTGAGTGCTATAAGTATTCATTTTGATTTTACCTTAAGATGCTTTGATACTTCAGTTCTGTTAACATGTGATAACTTTGTTTTTATCTTATCAAAAATTTCTTCATACCTTTGATATTTGCAGTCATTCCTTGATCATGTAAATAGTTTGCTATTTTAATGCTTTAACATTCGTGACCTACCTCCTCACCTCTGTGGCAGAGTGCAGCCTTTAACACAAGAGGCTGTGTTCCCCCGAGTGCAATTAGTTTTTGCATGAGATTAAAAACACACTGATTATGTGTTGGTGGACAGAGTTTAACACAAGGCTTAGGCCATGTTTGACAAGGAATCACAGAGCAATTCCACTTTTGTAAGTTTGTGTCACAGCTACAGCCTTTATTACAAAGACGTGTGTTTTGTTTGCCAACCACCACCCTCCTAAAAAATAAAATTTTAAAAAAGAACCAGTCCCTGGAATTGTGGCATGGTTTGTCCATGTTTACATTCTCGTGGCTTATTTTTTAATTTCTTTGCTTTTTTCCTGCTGTGGTGTCAGTCTTCTGAAGCTGTATGAGGAAATGAAACTCCTTTTGTTTTCAGAAAACTAGTACAAGAGCCTCGAGTGCCTCTTCCTTTTTTTAGAACCACTGTATCAGTAGATAGAGTAGTTTTTGTGTGTTCATAGCACACAAAATCTATGATGACCTTTGAAACTCCCTTAATTTTGCTAATATTTATCTGTTTAGAATTTGTTGGCTTTTAAAATAAAAAACAAAAACAAAAATCCTGTGTTTCTGGTGGGCTTGATGCTCACAGTGTGTCTGCCTGGTCTGTAAGTGAGTTTCAGACTAACCTTCTAGTGACCACAGTACCATTTTCTCTTCCTCTTGCTCCAAATCAACATTTTATTTCACTTATATCAAATGAATGGTAGAGGTCTGAAATGAATGGGGGGTATAATATTATTCTGTGATCAGTATCTTCTGCTTTGAAAAATCAACATCTCTTGGCTTAAGAGCTAACCTAGCAAACTGAGATTACCAGACTTTGCTGATTTTTATTTTCATTTGGCATTGGCCTTTTACTTACTACAACTAAAAAGGCTGGTGATTTGCCGGGTTTGTGACCTTTGCAAATCTAAGATTAAATACTTTTTCTTTATTTTTAGATATCGTATATATGACAATTCTAGTTTTTTAAAATACATCAACTTGTTAGTGCATAGAAAATAGACATGAATAGTGATTATTTGTTCATTTTTCAATTTTCCAGAGTAACTGAAGTGAAGTGACGGACTCTGATTTGGAAAGTAGTAAGACGTGAAAGGAGTACAATTGTGTTTGAGCACCATGGCCTTGGTTCACTGTTCAGGAGAAGAGAACAAGAAAGATAACTGGTTCTCATCTGTGGAAAAAAGTAAATCATTGACCCTTAAATGATTATTGTTACAGTTTTTATTCAAAGCATTTGTAATGTAGTTAATAAAAGAATTGTCATCTGTGTTGTGTGCCCAATTGAGATCCAGTTTTTTGTTGTTATTTTTACTCAATTAGGGGCAAGAGTAGAGTGGCCAACTTCCAAGAATGATGCCTTTCAGATCCTAGGGTCTCTTGACTTTAGGTCACCAGTTTAAATTGGTTCAAGGTGAGAATTACCTGGCGCTACCCTCGTGGTTTCCCAGAGAGCTCTATGAAGAACAGTGGCTTCCGTAGAACCTTAGCAAACTTGGGTTCACGGCCACGTTGGCAGTTATGGCTGGTGTTAGCCAAATACGGTCTGTACCACTTCTGGGTCAAGGGAATAGCAGATTTAAGAACAGACAGGAGTTTGCTTGGGAATATCTTGAATGCTGCCTGCGTGTGATGTGATCCGGCAGGAGACTGTGGTCTTCATTCTTGGGGGTTGCCATTCACACATTTCTTCCTTCGACATACAGTGTAATGAATCCTTTCCAGATTTAGAGTAATTTTATTGATGGATGTGTTTTTCTTTTATTCACACAACCCTTTAAATCCTGTCTTGCCCACCTGTTACTTGCTTCTGCTGTACAAGATGTAGCACCTTTTCTCCTCTTTGAACATGGTCCAGTGACACGGTAGCATCATTGTAGAAAGGAGCCAGACTTATCCTCAGAGAACTATGTTCACACTTCTCAGCAAAAATAGCGATGGTTGTAACATATGTATTTCCTTCCTCGGATTTGAAGGCACAATCTACAGTGTCTCTTCACTTTTCTGATCTGGGGCATGAAAAACCAAGATTGAGATTTGAACTATGAGTCTCCTGCATGGCAACATAATGTGTGTCACCGTCAGGCCGACAGGCCCCCCCGCGACAGGGTGGTTTTGTTACCATTGTATCTGTGTTGCATGATAAGCACTCATCTTCCTTGTGTAGTCCTGCCTCTGTAAGCCCCTCATTCTAAGATCGGAAAGTAAAACAAAACCCCCCACATCTCCTACCCCCGTTAGAAGAAAATTAACGTTTCTGACAGTCGTGATCGCCTGGAGTACTTTTAGATTCTTAGCACTCGTTTTCTTCCTTCGCGGGTGTGTGTGTGTGTGCGGGCGCGCGCACAGTGTAAGATAGGCACGTGCATCTTCTGTACAGACAACAGCAGGATACCTACAGGAGAGCAAATGTTAATTTCATGCTTTTAGTAACAACATTAAAAAAGATCTTTATTGGGTGGAATTATATTTGATGCAAATATTTGATCACTTAAAACTTCAAAAACTTCTAGGTAATTTGCCAAGCTTTTTGACTGCTCACAATACCCTCTAAAAATACTAGTAATTCTTCCTGTCTGTGTAATAGTAAGACATTCATATCTGTAGTTACATTACTAATAGTTATTTCTTAGTCCACTGAATGTTCCCATGTGCCTCTTTTATGCCAAATTAATTGTCATATTTCATGTTGGGACCAAGTGGTTTGCCTCTGGCAAACCTTATGACCTGCTGATGCTTCTCAGAAAACTGAGCAGACTACGAAGACAGCTCTTCTTGGAAAAAAAAAAAAATATTTTGTTTCCTAATTGTGTTGCTGTCCAAAATATTATCATATGTAGAGGGAGCTGTGTTCCTTTATATAAATCTGATGGCTCTTGCTGTTTTTTCCTCTGAAAATATATTTTACTAATATTGTTTGTTACTTTGGAAATCAATTTTGATGAAAGGAGGAGAAAAACAGATGAAAAAGATTCAGATACCTATTCTCTATTAAGAAAAAGTAAGGCATGAAAATCTTTATAGCAAACTTTTTTATAAACTCAAGTTGTACCTTTTAATATGCAATAAGCTCTCATTTATTTGGGGTTCAGTCTTGGGACCTATCCATCACCCTTTGTGTTCTCTTTAACACTGTCTTCTGAGGCACTCACTGCCCTAGACAACACACAGAGGAAGCAGGAGAGATGCCAGGTGACATCAACTCTTGTTCTTACTAGCTGTCAGCTTCTCTGGAAAAGGGACCACATCAGCAGGAGCCCTCTTGCTTGGGCCTCATTGGGCCAGTTCATTCACTTTAAATCAGACTTGCAGTGGCTCGCAATTTTTGTCACACCAAATTAGAATTGTTAACGTTTTGAGCGTCCTGTATCTGTCCCCGACCCCCGACAACCTGCTTTTCACTCAATGATCCCAATTTTTGCCATTGACTAACACTCGATTTTATTTAGTGCACATCCTCTGGTACCACTTGTCATTTTTGCAACAACTTCTCCAGTGTTTTTGGCCAAATCCAATTTTCCGTCTCCTTCAAAACATTGTCTTCCAGCCCTCCCTCCCCTCCTGGCTCTCATCTGAAGCTCACCCCCATCTCTGTCGCTGCCTCTTTCATCTCTTCTATACCTTTCTTAGTACTTCATGTGTGTCTGCTGAGTTCTGTCAGGTTTTTTGTCTTGCTTCTCTCAATTTTGAAATTCTGTTATGGCAAGAGCTTTTTTATTTGCCCCTTTCTCTTCCTGCAGTGTTTTGCATTCATTAGGTGTTCAGTGCGTAAGTTGGATGATTGAAAGTTGGCTGTATGCAGATTCCCCACTATTTTCAGTAGGGTGATTTAGATCGTTTCCTTTTTTTGACAAATTTCACATGCCCTGAAAACCTTAAAAGGTGATGACTTTTCACCTGGAAACTCCAGGTCCGTTTTGTTTAAATTTCTGAGAATGTCAAAATGAAAAAATGGGGCTATCCCAAAATTTGAGAGTATTGCTCATGCCAGGATGCTATAGTCAATTTAGTAAATGACCAACCAGATTGTGATTTGAGTTAATAAAGCTCAAAAAGTGATACGTTTACTCCTCCATCTCATTAAGAATCAAGCCCGGTATCACCTAGATATTTTTTGTCCTAAAAGGGGTATTCAAAAACAGATCTGTGGGATGTGTATGGAAATACATACTCCAATGGCATTTACATGCCATTGGAAGCCGGAGAAAGGATTGTTGGGCAACACTTTCTCTTTTTATTATGTTTTATTTAATGGAGAGTTTGTTTAGAAACCTTAGTTTCACATGTGTCCTATTTTCAAAATCACTAACTGCCATCACCCACTGGGGTCCTTTTTTAAGTCATTTTCCATGGATAATAGGGATAATCCAGGTAACTTTTAAGAGCTAAGCAGTGAACAGAAAGTTTTCCTGCCTTTGGCTTTTGACAGCTCTTATCATTTAAGACCAGCTTTCCCATAAATTTAGCCTTTTGAAAAAAAGAGCATTTGTATAAGTTTCTCTGTAAGGCGACATCAGTGGAATCTTAAAAGTGTTGTTATCAGGGTTGGTGAGAGAAGGAAACATTTCTGTTTTTATTAAATGGAGCATTATTTACAAAAAGCCATTGTTGAGATTTAGATCCTACATCATATAAATATCCATTAACCATTCTAAATAAAGAAAACTCCAGTGTTGCTATGTGCGAGATCCTCTCTTGGGGCTTTTTTCCATAGCAATTAAAGGTGTGCTATTTGTCAGTAGCCATTTTTTGCAGTGATTTAAAGACCAAAGTTGTTTTACAGCTGTGTTACCGTTAAAGGTTTTTTTTATATGTATTAAATCAATTTATCACTGTTTGAAGCTTTGAATATCTGCAATCTTTGCCAAGATACTTTTTTTATTTAAAAACATAACTTTGTAAATATTACCCTGTAATATTATATATACTTAATAAAACATTTTAAGCTATTTTGTTGGGCTATTTCTGTTGCTGTTAAAGCAGACCACAAACACATTTCTAAGAAACTTAGTTCATTGTATCTTCAAGTTGTCCATATTCTAAGTAACAATGCAAAGGATCACTTGAAAAATTAATTTATAAATTCTTCTTTAAGGTATATTAACCAATGAGCAAACTTTTAATTGGAACAAAATTTAAAAGTTTTATTAAACAAGTCTGTCATGTTGAATTTTCCCACGGTCTGGTGTGAACGTCACCTGAGAAAGCAAGAGCCCTGGCTTCTGGTCCTGGCTGTACTAGCAGAGCACCTTGGCAAGCTGCCTCCCCGCATCTCCGTGCCCCTCCTTACCTGTGGAGAGAGTACTCTGCCAAGACTGAGAAGATGCAAATTAAAATAGTTCTTCCTTTTAACTGGTGGTCACTTAGGACTATTTTGATTACCAGTGAAAGAAAACCTGTATCTAAGAAAAATGGGATTTATTGGCTAATGTAACTGAAAATTCAGGGGCACAACTGGATACTGGGCCTCAAAACGGTGTCCTAAGGATCCACTGTCTCCCCAGCTCTCAAGCTAGCTCTTGCCTGCCTTCAGAGGTTGCATGTGATGGCAAAATGTCCAGACAATTGCTGTTCCAGACCCACCTGATGCCAAGGTCAGGGAACATGGGAGGAAAAAAAAGTGCATCTCTCGCTCGGTAGTCCTATCCACCCCATATTGCACCTCCGTGGTGTGACTGGTCCTGGGCCTCCTGATCTCACTGACTGACGCCAGGCATCTCTGACGTCCCCCCGGGCTGGCCTGACCCACGGCTAGCCTGGAATGGAGATTGTGAGTGCCATCTGGGGTGGGGGTGGGGATTGAGGGGAAGTAAACTTGAAGCCCAAGTCAGGGGATTGTTACCAGATGATAAGATGTCATTAGACTTCTGAGCACAGCATTCCCAGTCGGCACTGCATGCCTTGCAGGTATGTACTCTATGATTCTGCGTTGTATGTGTGACTGTCGACTGTTTGAATGGAAAATAATACTTGGTAGCAAGGTACCATCTCATTTCTTACCTCATAGGCAATTTAGTTTTTTATGCATTTATGAGGACTTTTTCACTCTCAGCAGGAGTAACTAATGGAGTTCAGAAAGCATTCAAATGGCCTACCTCCTGCACTGCAGCCTGCCCTGTGTAGCACGGAACTGTACTCAACCTGATTAGGACTCCCACGGAGCTGGAGGCTTGCAGATGCAACTGGATTTCACTTCTGTGCGGCGCCTTTCCAGCTCAAGGCTTCAATTTGACAGCCTTAGAAAATGCCGGATTATGGTAACACCATCTATGTAGGACATGATACCAC